ACGCTTTTGTGTTTTGTAGTTAAAAGCTGTGTTTGTTACAGAAAGTTTATAAAGTAGGGAAAGGTGAAAAAATAAAAATCCTCACACGTGGCCGCTCTCCCCCTTCACAATAGGTCCAGAGAGAGGGGCAGGAGCCCGGGGTGTCCTGTAGCCCAGGTTTGGCCGTGACCGGCTACCACCCACGTATCCTATTGGCCTCAAAGACAATTTGGGCACCAGGCGGCAGGGGCGCACCTGGCGTGAATAGCAGGAGGTGTGGACCCCTGGGGGCCTGCCTGGGGGCTGCTACCACACACGGAGAATTGGGAACCCTCGACCCCAACGGCGGGGACTGCGTGGGGTCTGCAGAGGTTCAGAAAGGCTGGAACGATGGACCGGGCCAGCCTGGATGCAGGGCCGGGAGGGCTGTGCCTCTGTGGAAGCTGACCGTTTCCGTGGCAGGGGAGCAGGCCAGGGCGGAGGGGCCCGAACCAGGCCGAGCTGTCGGCCCCTACGTGCTGGAGCTGTGCTCCTTTTTGTCCTCACGTGGCTCCCAGTCTAGTGAGAAGTGGACACTGGCCAGATGACCTCAGAAACACATGATCTGACATGGGGGGGGGTGTCCATGGGATAATGCACTTCAGTCACCCAGGCTAAAGGCTAGGAAACCTTCCAGGATGAGATGTTTCAGCAGCACTTGGAATAAGAATGAATGAAATAAGGGTGGAGCGGGGGCAGACAGCTCCAGGGTGGAAGGCTGCGCCAAGACCCAGGGGCACCATGGAGATGGTGCTTCTAGAAGCTTCCGGAAGGCCAGAGCACTTCAACCCTCCAGATGAATTCCATATTCTTCTTCTTCTTTGGTGTTGGAAGTATGTGTCAGTGTACAGAACTTGTATTCAGCACTCACTGAAGAACGACCCACTGACTCTACAGGTACTTTTGGGCCCAGGCACTGTGCTAGGTCCTGGAAAACAGGGGACCAAGGTCGACAGCCCCCTCACCCGGGCTCCGAGCCTGGCCTGGGGGGCTGGTGGGGCCACCCTGAGCCCCTGGACACTGAAAGGACAGGCTGGCCTGGTTGGGGCCTGGGTAGCCACTGGCAGGCCTTGCTGATGGTCTCGCTGGCTGAGGGACCCATCTGCCAGGAAGCTGAGGGTCTTTGTACCCCCTCTGCTTCTGAGGTGTTGGATTCTGATCCTGAGGACCTAGGGGACTTCTGAGGCCAGACTGGTCATCTCTGCCCTGGGGAGGCTGGTCTTGCTTTTCTCAGGTTCTCCTCTAGATGGTGCCAGGGGACCAGACATGGGCTGTGTCCCCAGAGCAGGCCTCCCAGGGGCCCCCAGGACGGCAGTGACCACAGGAATACATCCAGCTTAGTGTAGCTGGGGTGCTGCGACCTGCAGCAGGGATGGGACAGAGCACAGGCCTTGGGCAGGGCTGGCTGCCTGGAGCCGCCACAGCAGCCTAGCGGGGCTGCCCTGGGCCTGGTGTGCACCCCACAGACCCCTCACTGCAGCCGGCCCCGAAGCCCCCTCATCCGGTGTCCTCTCCCCGCTTATCCCATCAAAGCCAAGAGGCCAGGAGCTGCCCCTCCCCTTGGGGATGGGATGGACACTGTTCCCAGGCCCTGGCCAGCCCACACCCCGGTTCCCAAAAGCCAGCTCCGAGTAGAGTAAGAAAGACCCCTCTGTGCGGGTGGGGACCCCTCCCACAGGGGCTTTGGAACTCTGCTCTCCTGATGAAGGTGAGGTTCATTCAAGCCCCCTCCGGTCCCCCAGGCCAAGGCTCCTGAGGCGTCTCTGCTCACCTGCTTTTGTCATGGTCCCTTTGGGTGGGGGGGACATTGACTTGAGGGAGAGTTTCCTGTGAGGGCTGAGCAGGACCTCAGAGGGTGCCTGGGGGCCGCTGCGTCCGGCCTCCTGGGGAGCCTGCACCTCTGGGCATGGCGTCTGGGGATCTGGCCCCAGGAATGTGCACATTTGATTTGCTGCCAGGTTGGGAGGCAGCGGGGAGGCCCAGGGCCCTGTGCCAGCCCCCTCCTCGGGCCTCCCTGCCCTTCACCCGCCTCAGGCTCGTGGGTGCGGCCCGGGAGTGAGGGCGAGCCCACCACCTGGATCCCCAGAGCCCCACTGACACACCCCGTCCCTCAGGCCCACAGGGCAGGGGTCGTGCACGCGCCCCCGTCTATATAGTGATGGATTTGTTCCTTTACTTGTTTGAATTCAGGAAGTGGTCTCTGCCCTCAGAGGGGCTGCCTCCTGCCTCTTGATTCTCCACAACCAGGCCCCAGGCCAACTGAAGGAGGGTTTTTGTTTTGATTTCCCCCCAGTTTGTCTTTTTAATCATGTTTGAATTCTTAACCCTTTCTCCTCAGCCCTGTGGCAGGTGCTGTCCTACTGTGGACCAAGCAGGCTGCCTAACTCTTGTGGGGAAGCAGCCTTTCACCGGGAGGAATTTAACCTAAAACCTTTTCTTTCGTCCTGTTCCAGGCTTCCTCCACCACCCTCGCCCCCTCAGCCCCTCCCTCTGCAGATCTGGGTCCCGAACACCACACGCTCCTGCATTCATTCAGGAAAGTCCCTTTACCTGTCTGGGCCTCGGTTTAGATGGTGAAAATGGGCACAATGGAATTCGGATTTTACCTGCACAGCTGTCATGAGTAGCACACGGGACAAGGCAGGAGGGCCCTGGGCTGGTGGCGTGTGGTCTCGCAGGGCTCACAGCTCAGGCCCTGCCCCCATCTCTCCTCCCATCCAGCCCCTTTACCTGCTGTTTGAATTTGTATCAAAGTAATAGATAAACACAGTTTTAAAAGTCAAACAGCACTACAGGTCAGATCATGGACAAGAGCAGACCCCTGCCCACCTCACCCCTGTTCCCGAAGCAAAGACCCAGAGAAATCACTTTCTGTAAGTCTCCCTGGCTGTGCTGTCTTTGGTCTCGTTTGCGCATCACCTCCATGTTTCTAAATGACAGGCTTTTTAAGTTTTACAAAATACCTACTAACTTCCTACCTGAGAGAGGACCAGCCCCTCCCAATTCAGTTGCATCACATTTTCCTTTGGGGAAACATGCTGACTGCTGACAGGGCCATGTCTGTGAACCTCATCACGGCCGAGCCAGACTGTCCTGGACTGCGCTTCCTTCCTCGTGTGACTGTCTCCCGGAGGTAGCCTGTCTCACAGCTGCCGCTCTAGGCCTGTCCTCACCCTGACGAGGCCACGGCCTTCCCCACAGGAGGACCGGCTCCTCTTGGCTTCCGTTTTCCTGGGGACTCTGTACTCCGAGCCGTTTGGCAACTTTCATCATCACGCCAGGGGTCCCACCCCTCCTCCCGTTTTCCCTTTTCTGGACTCATTCCTGGTCCCACACCCCGCGGCAGCGTCCTTGAGGCCTCGAGGTGTGCGTGCACAGTCTGTTTGCTTCATGTCTGTCTGTCTCTCCCAGGCTCACCTCCCGGCTTCCCACTGGTGTCTCAGCCGCTGCCCCAGCTCTGGAGCCTCTGAGAGCACTGCTTGCTGTGTGCTAAGGGGACGAGACCCTGTGCTACCCGAGAGGTGTCAGTCAGGCTTCTCCGAAGCCCCTCCCAGCGAGGCCTCGACTCCCGTGTCTGGCTTTGCATCACCCAATTTTAGCAAGAATCCTGTTAGCTCAGTTGGACGAGAGACCCCTGGCCCGCCATTACCGAGAACCCTGGTTTAGCCAGAACCCTGATGCAGTGATTTCCCATCCCCCACCTCACCTGTTCCTTGGCTGTCAATCCCTACCTTCCGGGCTGCATTGGGAATTTGGCCAGTTCTGTACTGAGGCCTTTTTTTGTCCCCATTGCAATGGTGCTGAACGAACCTGTCTCCATGGCTTTAACTGCTGTCCAGCTCTGGGCCTCTTGGGCAGCTCTGCAGAGCTCGGAACCTCCTTTGTGACACTGCTTGGCCTTTGAGGGGAAGCCGATGTCACCTAACGTGTGCCTCTTTGGCGTAACGATTATTTTGAGCTGATTATTTTGAGAAACAATGGAGCAGAAATTGCCCTTTTGGGAGGGACGTTCGCACTGTTAAGGAAATCTCCCCCTGTACGTGTCTCTCTCTCTGTACCTGAATGGGGGTGGCTCTGGATCAGGAGAGACTCTTACTGGGGAGAAGCCCAGATTGAAATCCACGTAACCACCACACCCCCCTTTCTGCTCTTCTTTGTCACCCCCATAACTGGCTTCCCCCACACCCTTCTTCTTTTGTCTTTAGCTCAGGGAATTCTGAGGGACTGAGAAGCTCTGTGTCAGCAACACGGGGCAAAGACCACATGTGTTTCTAATCATGCCCTGGGTGCCGCACCAGGACGCCACAGAGGGCGCAGCTGAAACACAGACTCTTCTCTCTGTTCTGGGGTTGTTTCTGGTGAGGCCTCTCTCCCGGATTGCAGACGGCTGTGTCCTCCCCGCATCCGCACGTGGTCTCCCCTCCCGTGCGCACGGGGAGACCTGTGGGGTGACAGCTGAGGGAACCCCCAGTAAAAGGCACAGGGGCTGTGATTTCTCTGCTTCATGAACCGGGGTTCACGCGAGTCCTCACGTGAGTCCTCAGGGTTGGGCCCCGCCCACAAGCCCCAGCCTCCGGGCCAGGAGGAGGCCAGTGTCCCCTCCCTCCAGCAGGGCGTTGGGGAGCTGGCTCTCCCAGGCCACCCTTGGCTCAGCCCCTCCCTCGCCGTCCCCGTGGCCAGTCCAGCCACCACTGTCCTGGCTCCTGCTGGGTAAATACGGTGCCCACGTGTTGCCAGGCCTGTAGAGACTCTGGGGCGCACCTTCAGGGATCTCCACTCAGCTCCCCGGGAGCAGCTGCAGCAACAGTGGGACAGGCCATCTCCGCCACACCAAGGCCCACCTCAGGCCTTGCGTCAAGCCCCTCCTTCCAGCCCGGACACTGGGCCACACCTGGTTCTAGGACTCACTCTTTTGGAGGGCGGGTGGACAGGCAGCTAAGCACCACGGAGTGAGGGACCCAGACCCCAGCGAGGCCCCAGCACACACTTGCTGAATCTTTATTGCACCTTTACCACATTGCAAACTATTCCACGAAAATGCCGTGAAAGTAACCAGCTGCCCGGCCACATGACTGTGTCACACACGTGCACAGGCTTGCGAAGCAAGTCAGCAGGTGCTCCGAGGCAGCCTGGGCAGCCAGGTAACGACTGGTCCTTCACGTCGCCCAAAAGCTACGCGGTGTTCATCTGTCGACGGGAGTCCGTGACAGCCTCAGGAGCCTCCTGCAGCCCCAGACACCTCAGCCCTGGGCAGGGAGGAGAGTTTTTACTGTACGTTCGGTCCAGAGGGGGAGCCCTTCGCAGGGGCACTTGGCCCTGCCAGGTGGCCCTCCGTGTGACTTGCTGGGTGGTCGGGGTCTGCATAGATGTCTCTATTTATGTACATTTACACCAGGTATAAATACAAAATAGTAAGTAAAGCCTTCCTTTCCATACAAAAGGGTGGTGGGCCGCCGCCAGGCCGCCTCTGTCCACGGGGGCCGAGTGCGCTCCCGCCGGCCCGCCCTGGTCTGGAAAGTGAGGACACGCGTCCCCGGGCAGCCCGTCCGCTCCTGCGTTGGCCCGTGTGCCCCGGCAGCTGGCCTGGCCACGGCTCGCGGTCACTACCTCCCGGCAGAGGCTCTGTGCTCGGGGCTGAGGTCGTCCTCCACGACAGCGGGCAGCCCGTTCTTCTCCACGCAGTCCCTGACCGCCTGCAGCACGACGCGCAGCCGCCGGTCCAGAGCCTCCAGGTGCGGCCGGTACAGGACGGGGGCCACGCGGTCCCTACGCAGGGACTCGGCCATCAGCAGACTCAGCTTGTACTCCTCCTTGGCCAGGAGCTGCAGCCGCAGGTGCGTGGACCTCCTGACCCTGCGGGGAGAATGGCGTCAGGCCGGCACTGGGAGGAAGAGCCTGGCCGTCGCTGCAGCCGCCCGGAGCGCGGTGCCGGCCCAGCCCTTGGCCCACTCCAGCCCCGGCCTCTCAGAAGCACGCGGTGAGGGTCCTGCCTCCAGGAGGGGCCCGGGTGGGCCCAGCGGTGTCCAACGGGCCCCTGTTACTCCCGGCAGACGGTAGCGGGGAGGGAGGCAGCCCCGGCTTGGCTTGCTCGTTGTCTGGGCCAGGCGACACGGAGCTGCCCCGGGGCCGAGCAGGTGTTTAGCCCCACAGCCTGTTTCCCCAACTGCTAAAGGAGGGGCCGGGCTGGGAGCCCCCAGAAAGGTGGCAGAGTGGGAGCCGGGGCTTCGGTGTCTTCTGCTGCAAGGTGGGCTGTTGCGGTGACAAGGAGCTGGGTCCCGGAGGAGCTCTGGGAACTGCCGGGGTGGGACAGGAAGGCCGCGGCTGCAGCAGCATCCGGCCTCCTGTGCAGTGACAGGGCCAGCCCAGGGGTGGGGCCCTCGGGGAGGGGCAGAGCCGCACCTGCAGCACTGCTGTAAAGGCACCAGGATGGAAAGCTCGTCGTGGGAGTATTTTCCAAACCTACGGGAAGAAGAACAGAGCTATGGAGAGGCCACTCGCAGGGGGACACCGTGCGCAGAGCCCGGGCACTGGGACGGGAGCATCAGAGCAGGCGGTGCCCGCGTGGGCCCTGCCTGGCGTTGCGGGGGCCTGGCCCCTGCTCTCCAGCCTTGGGTGCAGGCCTGGGACGAGGCAGGTGCCTGAAAGCGGCCTGACCTTCTGGCCACTGGACTGAGCAGAGGTTCGAAGGGGTGAGTCCTGGGCAGGCTGAGTGGAGAAGGCTCGAGGGCGGGTCAGCCGAGAGTCTAGCTGCAGGGCTGTCTTCTACAGCTGGGAACGAGTGACCCACAGACGTAACTGCCCAGGTGCCCAGAGCTGATTCCCCTGAGGCGTCTGAGAACTTGCAGCTCTGACCGCTGGAGTGGTCTGTCCCCTGCACACACACCCACTGCAGGCCTCAGTCTCCCCAGCTCACAGGCTCACAGGAGTCCTGGCCAGAGCCCTGCGTCACATAGGGGGGCCTTTGGGGGCTGTGCCGTCCCTCCCCACAGAGCGCCTGCTCCCCCAGGTCTGGGTGGGGACACGGCCAGCCCTTCGCTGCGTCTGGAAGGACTCACCCTCTCCCATTGTCCAAGTGAATGATAAACGTTTTGTTCCCAAACTTCTCGAAGGTCTCGTAGTGATGGCGGTCCATGTTTCCTGTAGGGACAAGCCTGCTGGGAGCCTGTGCAGCTCAGAGGCGTCCCCTCCCTCCCCCGTCTGGCCTCCAAGCTGGCAGAACCGAGTACAAGCAGGACCACGGTGGCTGGATCTGTGTCAGGCGTTCCCAGGGCAGGCCGGTGGCCCCGGACATACCCATGAGGAAGTCGAAGATGGTCATGTCCATGATGTCCAGGATGCGGTGGCTGCTGTCGTAGGGGGGCGTCTGCTTCACCTCCTCGCAGTAGTCAGGGTCTACTTCCCACCTGCAGGGGAGCCGGCATGAGAAGAGCGGGCTCCCCTGTAGACAGGAGGACCCAACCAACCTCTGGGGCTGCCCAGCTCAGTACACCGGGTTCACGGGGCAGCAACAGGCACCGGGTGAGAAAAGGTGTCACCGCAGAACAGAGTGTGGGAAGATGATACTGACCAGCGGTGGGCTGAGGCTGCATTAACAGGAGCATGGGGCTGGGAGGTGATGGAGCCACAGCACGCGGATGCCACGTATTTGGGGGGGGGGCCTGGACAGCACACTTGCAAGGATGTCTCCGTGGCTGGAGGGACTGTGTCTCTCTTGCAAGAAGAGCAGAGGTCTGAAGCCTCGTCTTAACACGGACAGATCCCAGCAGCCAGTGAGCACCCAGTTCCCAAGTGAGGGGCCCTTTCTGGTCATCTGCTCCCACACACTTGGCCCTGCCACTCCTCACACCGAGCTTGTTCCCTGCTGCAGGTCGGGCAGAAGCCAGCCCTCCGGAGACCCCGGGGAGTCAGGATCCTGGAGTCCCCGCCCAACGTGCCCCCGACTCACTCTGCCTTCTTGCGCTTGTGGTATGAGCGTCGCCAGGGGTTCCGCCAGGTCTTCCTCTTGGCCAGGGCCAGGTCAGGCAGAAAGGCGGCCAGCGAGCCCTCGATCTGGTCTGGCCGCCCGCACAGGGCATGCTCCGTGGAGCAGTAGTAAGAGCATTCCCCGTAGAAGCAGATGTTGTTGGCTGTGGGTGGGGGACACGCAGGCAGTGGGGCCACTCGGGCAGCGTCCCCGTGCCGGCCCCTCCCGGACATCCACCCTGGGCCAGCATGTCTGCGCCACATCCGACTCGTCCCTCCCCTGGGCAGGGCTCACCCACACTCTCACGCCTGACCTCAGCCGCCTGCTCCAACCCCGCATCACAGACCCTGGGGCCACACAGCTCGGGACTCAGAGCTCGGACCTGAACCCGGGCTCTTCCTCGTTACCCTCGAAACTAAGTCTGGAGTCTGTGGGGATTCTGTCCAGTGGCTTGAAAAAGGCCCTCATACCAAGAAAAAAAAGTGACTCAGCCGGGGGGGAGAGGCTTGCACACTGTAAGCTAATAAGCATCCAGTATTTGCACACAGAAGAGCTCTTACGTCTCAGTAATGAGGAGATGAACAACCCAATCAATAAATGGGCAAAGGAATTCAAAGGGTATTTCTCCAAAGAAAATATAGAAATGGCCAACAAGGACACGAAAAGATGCTCGACAGCGTTAGTTACCAGGGAAATGCAAACCAAATCCACAATTTCTCAACCAGTAGGATAGTTTTGATCAAAAGAACAGATAATAACTAGTGTGTTGAGGGTGTGGAGAAGTTGGATCCCTAACACAGTGCTGGTGGGAATGTCAAATGGTGCAGCCGCTGCGAAAAACAGTCAGAAAGTTGGACCCAGAACTACCACATGACCCGGCCATCCCACTCCCAGGCGCACGCCCGAGAGGAATGGAGACACATCCACACACACACTTGCACACAGATGTTCACAGCAGGCCATTCCGGCAGTCAGAGTGGAACCAACCCACGTGCTCGTCAAGGGATGGGCAGATAAACACAGCGCGGTTCATCCATAAAGTGGGACAGCATTAAACCACAGAAGGAATGAAGTGTAACACCTGCTACCACGTGGATGAACCGTGAGCATTACGCCCAGTGGATGAAGCCAGACACCGCTCACGTGAAACACCGGGAACAGGCAAACCCATGGGGAGACAATGGCAGCTGCCGGGCAGAGCGGGGGTGACTTTGAATAGGGGCGGGGTTTCTGTGGGGTGAGCAAATGTCCTGGAACCAGATAGTAGTGACTTGCACAGCACTGAGGATGTACTAAAAACCACTGAGCGGCACACTTCAAATGTTGGCTTGACGACGTGTGGATTATACCCCCACAGAGAAGAGTGATTTGAGAAGCACTGGGCGGGGAGCAGGCCGCAGCCACACCTCAGTGCTGGGCGCTGTGGGTCTGTCCGTGCAGTTACCAACCGAACCATGTCCTCAGGGTCAACCACTTCCTTCCTTTGCTGGGGAAACAAACCCCAAGCCTGGGGTGTGCAGAAATACAGGGCCAGGGCCCCAGGCACCACTGCAGGCCCCCTTCCCTCCCTGTGCGAACAGCTGGTTCCAGGGCCAGGGGTCCCCCCTCCTGCTGCACAGCCTGCCCGAGTGACACTTGTGACCTTCTCTGGCTACAGACAGCAGTCACACCCCCTGGAATGGAAGCGCAGGCTCGGCGGCTCCTCTGAACACGCAGAGTCTCAGCCAGGTCGGGACACGGGGATGGGAGCAGCTCCCACACACCCCCTGCCTCCCCACACCCCCTGCCTCCCCACACCCCCTGCCTCCCCACACCCCCCGCCTCCCCCACACCCCCCGCCTCCCCACACCCCCCGCCTCCCCCACACCCCCGCCTCCCCACACCCCCCG